CCACAACGCCCGGCTATTTTTTGGTTGCAGCTGTCATTGTTGTTTGGCGGGTCCAGGCTGGGGATTCGAACCCGCCACCTTAGGTGTACGTGGCTGGTGCCTTAGCTGGTTGAGCTATAGGCGCCGAGCCAACTCTTTCTTTTATCAGCATAATTTAAGTGTGCTGTGGAAGTTTAACTACAGGTTCAAGTGTGCTGTGAAATAAAGAAAAGGTTGAAAATCACTGGTCTAAGGCCCAGCTTTGCCTCCACAGTGTGACCCCAGCAAGGGCGGGCCGAGACGAAAGGTCTCTGAGGATCTGCTCTGTGCAGACGATACAGGTACTAGTCTGACTCATGTAATCACAAACAATGGCTTGTGAGGATCCACCAAAATGGATTATTATCACACTTTACAGATGAGAAAGTTGATCTTCTGAAACGCTGAGTAAACTGCTGCGATTACTAAACCAGTACGAGGCTGCGATTGGAACTCCAGAGCCGAGAATAGACTCTGGCCTATCTGACTTTACTTCTTGTACAACTCCCACTAACAAAACTGCCTGCCTCTAAAAAGGCTTTGTTTCCCAACAAGTAAAAATAAAGAAGTCCCTTTCAATTTTAATTGTCTGGTACTTTCTTGGGGTAATTTTGTTTTGTTTTTTAGAGACAAAGTCTCACTATGTTGTCCAGGCTGCATTTGAACTCCTGTGCTCAGCTCAGTGCCTTAGCTCAGCAGGTAAGGCGCCAGCCACATACACCAAGGCTGGCAGGTTCAAACCCGGCCTGGGCCTGCCAAACAACTATGACTGCAATCAAAAAATAGCTGGGTGATGTGGCAGGTGCCTGTAGGTCTAGCTACTTGGCTGAGGCAAGAGAATCGCTTAAGCCCAAGAGTTTGAGGTTGCTATGAGCTGTGATGCCATGGCACTCTACCTAGGGTGACATAGTGAGACTCTGTCTCAATCCCCCCCCCCAAACAAAACAAAACAAAACAAAAACAAAAAACCAAACTCCTGGGCTCCCTCCCACTTGGCCCAGCGCTTTTCACGTTGCAGGATTTTTCTCCTGATTCTTCTCATGAGTATTTTCTTCTGTTTCCTTGTCCTAATTTTCCTTTCACTTCCTTTTTCTCTTTAAGTTACTGCGCCTCTGGCCTAGGGTTTTGATGAGTCCTTTTGGAACAGGACCAGAAGGATGAGAAGACTGAAGAGCAAGAAGGGAAAAAAGACTTTAAAAAAAGAAAAAAGAGAAAGGAGACGGATGAGTAAAAGGGAGTATTGACAAAAAGAAGACACAGGAAGAGGGAGACAGGAGTAATAAAGGTGTACAGCCGGGTACTTTGGCCCAACCTTAAAAACCCCCCAACCTCTGGGACGGCTGGGCTGGGTGGTTCCCTTGAGGTCAGCAGCTCTTTGCCAGCCTGGTCAGACACAGTACCCTACCTCTACCAAGTAGAGAGGAAAGACAAAAATGCCATAAATCAAACCAAAACAAACAAACAGAAAACTTTATGGGATAAGATTGGGGGGAAAAAAAACAAATAACAGGGGCAAAAACACTAGCAAAAATGAAGTTGTTATTATTAAAGAAGGCAACAAAATGGAAAATTGTATTTAAACTAGAAAAAGAAAAGAAAAAAAAGAAAAATCTAGAGGGGAAAATGTTGAAATAATAATAATACCCACCCCCCCAAAACAAAGCAGTATATATATATATATCTTGCTGAATATTGTCTGGGCAACAGGTGACCTTCTGGGATCTGAGATGTTAATCACAATGCTGATATACCTGTATGAGGTGGAGCCTGGAGGCCTCTGCTGATTTCTCAAACCCTGCAGGGTTGAGAGCCTAAATCTTTCCTCAGCCCAGTTAAAAGACACCTTAAACCATTAATCTTGGCTAAGCAGAAGCTTTCCCAGATTTCCCGTTGCTGGGATCTCTCCTGATGTGGCTGCCTGCTTATCCAGTGAGCCAAAACTGGTCTCTATGCTCTTGAGTGCCAGAGCTGCAAGGCAGCCCTCCTACTGCCAAACACTGAAATCTCCGCTCTTCCCCAGTGTCTCAGTCCTGGCCTTTGGTGCTGCTCAGTCACTCTCCCAAGGTCTCCCAGCCTGAGCCTCGCTCTGGGACCCTGAGGGTGGTGTCTGCAGGGGCAGTTCTCCCACAATGGCTGCCGCCCACGTGCAGCCCACAGGTGAACAATATTAGTTCTGTTCCAGCTCAGTGGCTCACGTTGGGACTCGAGACAACACTTAAAGTCATCCACACTCTTGCCCAAGTTCTCCCAAGGTAGTTCAACCGAGTGCCCAGTCCATAAAAACAAAACAACCCACAGGGAAGGCCTTCCCTGTTTGGAATCTTGCTGCTGTTGGTAGTTACAGCTGCAGCAGCCACGGCCTCAGACAGAATAAACACAACCACTTGCCACTTTTCCACTGCTTTTGTCCTCCTCCTGGGGTCCAGAGGTCTCTCGCTGTCTCCCTGCATCCCCAAAGGGATGTTTCTGGGCAGAGCCCACAAGCCAGAGAGGCCTGATTTCACTGCACCCGGTTGTAAAGAAGCTGTTACTGGGCCGCCATCTTGCTCCAATCCCCAGCCAGTATTTTTAATAGGGTTAATAATTAGATTTGGGGTAGGGTTAGCATCTACCATATACGTACAAAGTTCAGATATCTGTGATAACTAAGCCTTCTGTGGAACTTAAGAGTCCAGGAAAGGAATTTAAAAGCAGCTAATGGTTAACGTTGAACAAATTTCTGCAGAATTTCAGATCTAGCGGCTTAAATCAGGCTGAGGAGCATTCAGTTGCTGTGAGGGATTTAGGGAGAAGCAGATACAGGACTTTTACAACATTTGTTCATAATTTACTATAACAATATTTTAGGGAAGTTTTTCATGACAGGGTAATGCATTAAAACTCGGTAACTGCAGGAATTCTCTGAAAATACCCACAAAATGCAGTTTATATGATTGATGCCACTACTTAGTGCA